TCCCCGCCTGGGGATTTGCCTGCAACCCAGGTACATGCCCTTGACCGGAATCGAACCCGGGACCTTTCAGTCCGCAGGTAGATGCTCTATCCACTGAGCCAAACCTGTTTCGGCAAATTGGCTATTTGCATTGACAAGATGTATTCGCCAGAGTTTCACGGCACCAAATTGCTTTCTTTTTAAAAATCAAGACACTTTTGGACAAAATACTTAGTGAGCAGCAAAAGAACGTAATCAAAGGATTAACCTCTCTCATCATGAAGTCAGTTTTTCCATCTTGCTTTTTTTCACATTAATCATTAAAACTGTTGAACTATAAATCCAAAAGAAATTGACTTTTTTTTTTTTCTAATATAGGTGATTAGAGCTGTAATAGATGCCTTTGCCATGGCTGCAGCAACTCAGGAGAATGACAGCTGAAGGCTGGATTACAGGGCCTAAAACAGGTAATTCTAGGTCCCCTCTTATTTCATTCTAACAAATAGGAGCAGAGCACATATGACTCATTCCACTAGGGCAGCGGTTCTCAACCTGTGGGTCACTACCCCTTTGGCGGTCGAACGACCCTTTCACAGGGATCGCCTAAGACCATTCTGCATATCAGATATTTACATTATGATTGATAACAGTAGCAACATTACAGTTATGAGGTAGCAAAGAAAATAATTTTATGGTTGGGTCACAACATGAGGAACTGTATTTAAAGGGCCAGAAGGTTGAGAACCACTGCACTAGGGCAAAGCATTTTGGAAGCTAAAATGAGAGGTGGGTCCTTACCATTTGTGTGAACAGAGAGAAGTGGAATTAGAACAGAAAATCCATAGGTACCCTCTTGTTATTGAACACTCGCAAAATTCCAGATACTATGCATCCTGATGAGTTAGTTAGTTGCTATGGTTAGCATTATGTTATGGATGAGGAAAATGACTCATATATAAGTTGAGTAACTTGCCAAAGGTCACATAAGGCTAGTTAAGTGATTAAGTCAAGATTCCAAACATCATTATTCATAGTAATCATGCCCTGTAAACAATACAAATGTTCATCAACGGTGGTAGGATAATAAATTATTGTCCACTTATATGATGCAATACTAAACAGGCATAAAAGTGATTACACTACAGCTACCACCAACAGCATGGATAAATCTCACACAGTGTGCTTCCGTGTATATAAAGATAAAAAATAGGCAAAAGTAATCGATGGTATAACAAGTCAATATAGGAGTTTCCTCTGGGAAGGAAAGAGGAATTGGTGGTTGGGAAGAGGAACTTCTGTCAAGTTATGTTTTTGACCTGCATGGAGGTTAAGTAGCTGCATCCACTTTGCAGTAACTCATTGAGCTGTACACTCATGATTTCTGCATTTTTATAAGAGTATGTTATACTTCAGTTTATGTTTTAAAAAGCAGCATCCCAGTTTAACCACCCAATTGGTGATAACAACAACTGATAAACATTGTTTTCTGCTGGGTGAAGTCTTCTGTGTGTCTCTGTGAAAGCTCTGCCATTGATCTGATATTGAGCAAAAACCGGAGTCAACTGAATTTAAGATAATTGTGGTCAATAAGGATTACAGACTGCATCTCAGGCCAGTGAGAGCTGAGGGTCAAACAGGAGTCCTGCGAGGGCAAGCACAGCACAGGTCAGTCCCCAAGCTGGAAGTGTACAAACCACCCGTGTAGCTGCAACCTGCCTTTTAAGGAGCCCAAATGGCGCCCCTGTGTGAATGAGGAAAGGCCACTTCTCTTCTCAAGCTATTTTACTGCCTATACGTCTGGGAAATCATTCAAGTCTAAAAGGACCCGAACGTGAGCAGCGCCCCCTAGAATTGTGTAGCGCACAATCTGCACAACTGGGTATGTTGCTCCTGCTCCGACAATACCTCGTAAGAACCTTCACTTCTGTTGAGAGCACCATCACTAGTCACCACGATAAATCTGTTTCTCACACAAAGCACATTCTCGCTTGACTTTCACTGTAAACCTCAGTGGGGTGGAACCAAATCAGAATCAGAAGAAGACAATATTTACCATGGCAAGGGAAGGAGGAAGCGCAGCAGGCCCTGTTACGTTCCCTAATGAGCTGGAACTCAGACGGAATTTGGCAGGGCGGTGGCATGTCATGTGCTAGCTTAGCAGCAGCACTGGCAACTGTCTTTCATCAAGGAAGTAAATGCATATACAACCGTGTTAGCCCTTGATGGTAGGGGCCAATCTCCTAACTTAAACTGACTCTGAGAGAGATAAGACAAGGACTGTCGATCTGTTCTGTGACTGCCTCAGCAGTTATTTCATCTTTTTAAAAAAAAAAAAAAACTCAATCCATGTCTATATTTATTTTTAAAACTACTATAAAACACATAAATGGTCAGAAAGGAAGAAAGAAAACATAGATGAACAAAAAGAATAAAATAAAAATCATTTTTATTGCCATTACCTAAGATTAACCACTCTCTAGCTGTGGTTAGATAAATGGTTTGGTATATATCTTTGCAAACTTATGTATTAATTTTCTTTGTTGTTAAGCCTCACCCAAGGACATTTTTCCCATTGATTTTTTTTTAAAGAGAAAGTGAAAGGGAGGAAGGGAAAAGAGAGAGAGCGAGAGAGGGAAAGAAAAACATTGATGTTGAGAGAATCACATCAATTGGTTGCCTCCCATACACTCCCTGACCAGGGCTGGGGATTAACCTGCAACCCAGCCACGTGCCCCTGACTGGGAATCGAACCTGAGACCCTTTGGTGCTTGGGCTGACACTCTAACTACTTATCTACACCAGCCAGGGCTAAAATTATTAATATTAACTTCTGTTCATGGTATTGCTCTTATTTTATAATCCCTTGCTGCTAAAACGGATAAGAAATGTTGAAGCAGTTGGCTTCTAATTGGATAATTTCCCTGTAGCCACCGCTAGAGTGGTCTATGTAGTAGGGGGTTAATGGTTGCTAATGTCGTTGCACAAGAGACTTTGTGCAACAAAGCTAAGCATAGCAACCAATGAAAAAACACATGTTCACTTACCAATAAGCCATTAAAAAGGGAACTGTAGTATGCCCAGCTGCTGAAGCCACAGTGACAATATGGCCATGATTATTCCTCATCATCGCTGGAAGAAATGCCTTGGTGGTCTAGAAATAGTTATTATAAAACAGAAAAAAAATTATTTCTGATTTGCAGGCCCATTGGGAATATTTTGAAACAAAGATACATTCTGTTAACATTGTTCCTGACATAAATTAAAATACCTACATTAATTGCCAAATGTGGCAACATAAGGCAATTGGATAGGATGCCAGATTAGAAAAATTAAGGTAAACCATGAATACTGAAACTTTAAGAATCAATTTTTTTTTAATTGCAAACAACTTATGTCCACTGGTCCTCCACCTCTTGTTAATGATATATTCTATCGTAATGTGAAATTGTTAGGAAAGAGTTTGCCATAAAAATATTGAAGTGAACAGCAATCTTCCAATAGTCATTGAATGATCCACACAATACTTACCGAGCACCTGCTATGTGATGGGGATTCAGCAACAAGTAAGACAATACCATACATTCCAAAAGAGGCAGGAAGATAAGCAAATTCCTATGTCATTAAAATACAGATAGGTGTGCCCTGGCCGGTTTGGCTTGGTGAATAGAGCATCGGCCTGCGGACTGAAGGGTCCCAGGTTTGATTCTGGTCAAGGGCACATGCCAGGGTTGCAGGATCAATCCCCAGTAGGGGGTGTGCAGGAGGCAGCCGATCAATGATTCTCTCTCATCATTGATGTTTCTATCTCTCTCCCCCTCTTCCTTCCTCTCTGAAATCAATAAAAATATTTTAAAAAAATACAGATAAGTGTCAACAAGTTGGGAATGTTAACATAACATAATACTGCATTTTTACCAACTAACTCCAATATTCTTTTGAGATTACTCATCCCGAACTCTCATCCAAGAAAACGTTCAGGGGCCCTTTAAGGAACTGGCTATTTGGGCAGTAGACCCCTCAGAAACTGTGTGTGTGTGTTTAAGACCTTGAATGGTGAGTTTCATAATAAAGTTTGCATTTGGGGCCAGGATATAACAGGAGGCCTGGGTCTCATGAGAATCAAAAAGCAAACTGGGTTTCCCTTTTATAGAACCACAGCAGGTAACTTAGAGTATCCCTAATCCCTTCTTCATCTTTAAATAGACAGAGACATGAGAATCTAGCTTAGAATTAAAACATAAATACCACCTGAGGTTTATTACTATTTATTATTATTAATATTTTTTGAGGATGGAGGAAAAATAACTGATGAAATTTGGTTGTAGCAAAAAGGAAAATGATCTCACCCTAGCCGGTTTGGCTCAGTGGATAGAGCATCAGCCTGAGGACTGAAGGGTCCCAGGTTCGATTCTGGCCAGGGGCACGTGCCTGGGTTGCAGGCTCGATCCCCTATAGGGGGCATGCAGGAGGCAGCCAATCAATGATCCTCTCTCATCATTGATGTTTCTATCTCTCTTCCTCTCCCTTCCTCTCTGAAAGCAATTAAAATATATTGAAAAAAAAGGAAAAATGATCTTTTTGTATATTATCCTTGGTACCAAACTAAAACTTTAGTATTGAGTTGATATGTCCTTATCTCTGATGAAAGCTTCACTTTAAACTTAATCTTTCAGTCTTACAAGAAGACTCAAAGAAATTGTAAAAGAAATCATACTTACCCAGAAATGTGCAAGTACATTAACTTCAAAAGTCTTTTCAATTTGAGGGTCTTGTGTAGCAAACAAATCTGATGTATAGACCACACCAGCATTATTTACCAGGATGCTAACATCTCCAACTTCTGTCTTCACCTTTAAAAATAAAATAAGAAAAATATCTGCATCATTAAGAAGTATGCAGGTAGGTTTGCATGCAATGATTACTTTAAAAAGTGTGTGTGTGTGTGTGTGTGTGTTTATTAGCTATGGGGGAAATATGTAGTTTTGAATCTATGTGCCAACATGAAAAAAAAAAAGAACCTTTTAATCTTAGGTACTTAATTTCAAAATAACTCTGCTTGTACATTTTCTTTTGCAATTTAGTCTCTTGACTTTGCTCTATTGATTATAGCTCTGGAGGCATTTGGCTAACAAAAACATAACCAGTGACAAATAAGCAGCTTTATTTTTTAAAATACTACTTTAAAAGGTAAGAAAAAAAAGGTTAATTAATTGTCAATTGCAGGGACTATTATGAGGAACTCTGTAAAACTGATTACACCATTAAACTAACTACATCCTCTATTCGTTTTTATGGTCACTCCTTTCTATTGCTCTCCAACCTTTCTCCATGAAGTTGCAGTAGACTTAAGGGCTAGCAATGCAAGAATATCTTATTCAATATTTCAGGCTGCTTGGTGGATGGAACCCTAGAGTCCCAATGCAATTCGTTATACATTGTGTTCCAAACAAAAGCAAGCCTCTATTAACAGAGCTATCCTTATTTTGATATTGCTGTGGTGTCTTGGGGAACTGAGACAACTAGCCTATTAAAAGCTTTCACATATGTAATTGCTATGCATTTTACAGAATTTCACTATCTCATTTAACTCTCACAATGATCCTATGAGATAGCAACTCTTAGTATGCTCATTCTAATGAGAAACATGAAACCCAGAATGGCTCACTTTCTTGCCAAAGGTCACATGGAGCTGGGACTCTCCCAGATATACTGACCTCAGAGACCAAGACACATCTCAAACCTCAAACAGAGGGCAAGTCAGGAGGGTGAGGCCCATCACCATCCCAGAAGGACATCAGTTCCTCAGCCCGACTGAGTTTCATCAGGTTGTATTAAATTGTTAGAGTCAAGCTAAGTTATTTTGGTCCTTAATCAACACACTTTTGTACCTATATCCACATCTCTAGCACAATAGGAAAATTGTTATTTAGAATAATGCCCCTAAGTTATGAGAAAAACAGGACACTCTCTGTGATTGAATTGATGAAGCTGCTGTAATGCCTCCAAATTAACATGGCTCAAACTATAAATTACTGTTTCATATTGCCAAAGTATTTGCTCAGACCCCCTGACCCTTCCTTCATCCTCCCCATCGTCACCCGTTGTCTCCCCCCAGGATGGGAATGCTGACTTGAACATTTCTTAATAATGAAAGCGAGCCTAGAGCTTTATTGTTTAGGTGGCGTAAAAGTGTCCTGATATCAAAACAGCCACATCAAAATAGCTACTTCAAAATATCTGGCAATCATACGTCATTGCGTGTACTCCGTTTAAACACACAGATAGTTCATCTTAGGACAATTTCAGTGAACACACTATGTCTAAAATACATGGAATGGTTTCAAATAATAAAGTTATCTCTCCCAGAAAAGCCTACTCCCAAATGAGTCTGCAAATGAATGTGTTCCCTTCAGGTAACTAACACTACTAAATCCCCTTAATACTGACTGATAACAAAGTTATATAGGTTATATTGGTGGTTCTATTATTGTTAGCAGAGGTAGCTAGATTTTCATAAAGGTCAGGAGCAAAAGGAACCAGACCTTATTCAGCCCAATAAGCCAGGGAGCTGACACGGGCAACAAGCCTGCCTGCCCCACTAGGAAGTTACAGCTTCACACACTCCCCGGGGTATCCTCTACCCTCGGAGACGGAGTACCCCCAAGCAGGCCCCCATTTCCGCTGGCAACATCACAACACTAATGACTAATTCTGGCCAAGTGACTACTGAGCACCAGGTATTGTTCTAAAAACTTTACATCATTCATTCGTTTACTCCTCATAACAACCCTCTGAGGTAGGGACTGCTGTGATCCCCAATTTATAACGGAGGAAAGTTGGGCACAAAGAGGTTGGGTAACTTGCCCAAGGTGATAAAGCCAGTATTAACAGGAAGAGCACTCATCTCTATGAAGGAAAATCATTATTAATGTAAGTAAGCTCGCTATTGTGGGGAATGCAGATGTTTCTTACCCAAAGGCCTTGATCTTACCATACTTCCTTCCCGGAAGGCCATTTCCCACCACTAGCCTGGGTAATGTCAACCGATTATACTGACCTAGAGAAGGCCTAACCAACAATAGGGGCATCCGTTTGAAATAAAAAATTATAATTTAAAATAGAAGTTAAAGATGTCCTCAAAACTAAAATTCAAGAGGTTCTCAAGTCTTGGCGGAATCAGAATATCCAGGGGCGAGGTCCAGGAAGGTCCATTTTAAGGAATTTTCCCAGGTAATTCTACTGGCCTTCCTACTATCACCACATTTAGTTAACAAGCATATTTATGAATGTGCTCAGAAGAAACCTCGTTATATACAGCACAGCTCAGTTATCTATAGAGGAGGCAAATACTGCTTTATAGAAATAAGTATGCTCGAAGACTGATGAACAGTTATTCTATCCTCCTAACTGAGTTCTTTGCCTGGAGTTCAGAAGATTCTGTTAGTGATTCTGCAGTGTCATCCAAGGATTTACCTGTATCAGAAATAGATGGTGAGGAGTGGGTGCAAGGGTATTAAACATTCAAATTCCTGGGCCCAGCCCTCGACCCACTGAAAGAAAACTTCTGGGGTGCCTATTTTTTTTTTTAAACAAGCTCCCTGGAAGATTGTGTAACACATCAAAGTCTGGGAACCTCAGTTCTGGGCTTTAGTTCTGGGTCTGCCACTAGCTAGCTGTACAACTTTGGGCAGATCATAAACATCTTAAAATAATAATTTTGTATTATTAATTTTACATAGTGAATGCATACATATATATATATTATATAATATGGAATATATATATATATATATGAGTGTATATTCCATATTAGGCTTTAAAAAATAACACTAAGCTTTTTTTCTTCTCTGTCACTAAAAGCTACTCATAGACGTCAATTTTCTGGCTGCAAAACAAATAAGGAGTTAACTATAATTCCTTCCTTCATTCATTCATTCACTCATTCCTCCAACATTTTAATGTGTAGGTCATATTCATGGTGCTTAGAAGAGCCCTGTAGACACAAATATGAACGAGTCAGAGTCCTAACCTCAGTGAGTTCAGTGTTGTAGAAAAAATAATAAGTATAATAATTAGGTAGGACCATATGAAATTCTCATTTTTAAATGTTTTTGTTAATCCTCACCCAAGAATATTCTTTCCCATTGACTTTTAGCGAGTGGATGGGAGAGGGGGAGGGGAAGAAAGAGAGAGAGAGGGAGAGAAACATGTATATGTGAGAAGCACATTGTGCCCGACCCAAGCTGGGGATTGAACCTGCAAATACGGTACTTGCTCTTGACCCGGAATCAAACCCACCACACCACCCTTTGGTGTGTAGGCCCATGCTTTAACCACTGATCCATGCCAGCCAGGGTGAAACTTTATTATTGTTTTAGAATAAAGGATTGAATATTGGCAGTTTCATATGGTTCAAACTAACATATTGTGTAAGTATATTAACAGAACTACATAGAGTTACGGGAACACAGAGAAGGGCCACGCAGTACAATTCCAGAAGAGGAAGTACCTGAGTTGGGTCTTAAGAGTGAGTAGAACAGCTATGCAAAGAGAGGGCAGGGCACGCCAGGCAGAGTGTAAGTAAAGGAGAAAGATCCTCTGGGGAAGCATTAGGAGATTGGTGATGCTGGGTCATAAGGTTCAAGGCCAGCGGGAGCCCAAATTAAAGGGCATTATATGTCATAGTAAGTGTGCCCTATTTGGCATATACCGTGTGGCAGACCTTGTGCTTTGTGTGCATTATCTAATATAATCCTTCCAGCCCTCTAAGGTAAGTACGATTATTTTATCCATTTTTTAGAAAAGGAACCTTAGGCTCTAGGGCAGCGGTTCTCAACCAGTGGGTCACGACCCCTTAGGGGGTCGAACGACCCTTTCACAGGGGTCGCCTAAGACCATCGGAAAACACATATATAATTACATATTGTTTTTGTGATGAATCACTATGCTTTAATTATGTTCAATTTGTAACAATGAAAATACATCCTGCATATCAGATATTTATATTACGATTCATAACAGTAGGAACATTACAGTTATGAAGTAGCAACGAAAATAATTTTATGGTTAGGTGTCACCATAACATGAGGAGCTGTATTAAAGGGTCCCGGCATGAGAAAGGTGGAGAACCACTGCTCTAGGGAGTTATCCAGGGTATTGGGTAAGTTATCCATGAAGAAGTAGAGAAGTCAGATGAATCTGTCCACACCCTACCAGACACTTCCTTGACAGCACCAGACTAGGCTGGGCCTAGTTTGTATTTTTCATTTATATGTAATTATTTAATGTCTATTTTCCTTACTATACTAAGGGCATCTGACCCTGCTCCTGTTTGACCTGTGTTCCTAAAATCTAGGCAACAGATACTCAGGAAATACTTGTTGATAGCTCTCTCAATTAGCCACGCACTGGGTTGGCCTTGCCAATCATCTAACTTCACATGCCATGAATTCTTGTTTACATCACTGTAACTAATGGTAAGGTATGGCATTTCAGGCCAGCAGGCGCTTCCAGGAGCCTCTTTGTACACCAATGACAGCCAAGTAAAAGTTAAGATTTTAGCCCTGGCCCGTGTGGCTCAGTTGGTTGAGCATCCTCCCATGCACCAAGAGGTCACACACAGCAGGCCCGCGGGCCGATCCCCAGTACGGAGAGTGCAGGAAGCAGCAGATTCATGTTTATCTCCCTCTCCCTTCCTCTCAAAAATCAATAAAAAATATATATACATATATAAATATACATATAGATACATATATAAATATATATTTCCTTTTTTTTTTGAAGAAAAAAAGGTAAGATTCTAAGTACCCCTCTCTTCCTTAAGCCTAGCCTGGTAAAAATTACATTCAAGTTTTTCTTTTTTGTTGTTTTTAACTAAAATGTGATTTTTAAAAATATATATTTTTTTGATTTTTTTACAGAGAGGAAAGGAGAAGGATAGTTAGAAACATCGATGAGAGAGAAACATCGATCAGCTGCCTCCTGCACACCCCCCACTGAGAAATAGAGGGTGAGGAGTGGGTGCAAGGGTACTAAACATTCAAATTCCTGGGCCCAGCCCTCGACCCACTGAAAGAAAACTTCTGGGGTGCCTATTTTTTTTTTTTAAACAAGCTCCCTGGAAGATTGTGTAACACATCAAAGTCTGGGAACCTCAGTTCTGGGCTTTAGTTCTGGGTCTGCCACTAGCTAGCTGTACAACTTTGGGCAGATCACCAGCCTCTGTTAGTTTCTCCTCATCATGACTGGGCCATCTCCAAAACCCCTCCTCGCCCTGTCACAATGATTCTAACCAAATGTGAAATGTTACCTTCTTTGCCGAACTGTAAATATCTTCCCGGTTGCTGCAGTCTACCACAAAGGCATGCGCTTGTGCACCCAGTTTCCTGCATTCAGCAGCTGTTTCCTCAAGTCCATGCTAGGAAAAGCAACAGAGAGGCAGGAGAATACACTAATGGTGAGCGAATTATATCAACAGCTGAAAATAATTAGGGGGAGTCAGATTCTTTGAACTGGGACTGGGCAAGAATTCCATTGACACATTTTTGACAATGCTTTGAAGAGCTTCTTTTAGTTGGAAGTGAATTTAAAGCAAGCTTCGAAAAATAAGATAAACATCTTAAAATAATAATTTTGTATTATTAATTTTACATTGTGAATGCATAAAATATATAT